ATATAAACTGATCAATTAAACATAGATGGTTCATGAGTTGCCGGGTAAAATACGAAGTTACTCGATCACAACTAAACTAGGCATAACCGAACCTTAACATGGCATAGCTATAAACTCTTGAACATGAATCGAACACTACCACCTAAAATGAACTTATTGACATAAAAAAATAAGTTGAGGATGGCTATACCTCCTCAAGTACTCGACGGAATTCGCAATCCGATCGTGATCCCGCGCTGATTCTCGCGTGTCCGTGTGCGTAAGTTACTGCCGTGCGGTGCCTTGCTATTTGTCGTACCTCTACTGCTACTAGCCGTGCGTGTGGTATGGAAAATTAAGGAAATTTTGCTGGTCTTTTATGGTTGAACTCAAGACTTATATATGGACATATAAAGGATAAAAGAGATGGGCAAAATTTTCGGACCAAGCTCTCTTTACTTAGGCTATACGGTTGAACTAAACTTTAAGGGGAAAAATGGGAGCAATTTGTCCAAACTTCTTCATTTATAAAGAAAACCGAGGGGAGAAAATTAGATGGTGCCAAGCCTTGGTGTTTACTTCCTAACTTGCCACTTGGAGGTGAATTAAGGAGTTAAGATGATGACTAATCATCTCCTTAAACCCCCAAATAGAGACACGTGTCCTAGCTTAAAAAAGAAGGAGAATTTGCTTCCTTAATACTAAGGAAATGCTTATGGAAATTTGGTACCATTATACAATTATCCGTACGGCTTTACTTTAATGGACTAATTGGAACATAAGCTTCGGCTTTTAACTCCATTAATATGTGATTAATGTTAAATTAATCACCTAGTTATGTTTAATTATTTAATTAAATATAATACTTAATTACCAAAATTATTCCGAACGTAAACGGTACGTCAAAAATAATTTTTCGATAATCTCGACTGAAAATAATTAATTCCGAAAATTAATACTTGACAATATTAATATATCGGAACTAAAACATAATTTATACTGATAAAATATCGAGATATTACAATCCTCCCTCCTTACAAAATTTCCGTCCTCGGAAATTCAAAACATAACTAATAATACATGAACTATGTACATGGAACATATAATATATACATCACAACTGAAAATCTGGGAAACGAGCGCGAATATCGGACTCTGCCTCCAAAGTAGCTCCATGGCAATCCCACTGAATATGTACGAGGGGAACATCTCGCTTCCAGAGCCGACGAACCTGACGGTCTAGTACAGCTACCGGTCGCTCCTCGTACGAAAGATCTGGCTGTACCTGAATATCCGAATGAGGAATGACATGATCGGGGTCGCACACGTATTTACGCAACATAGAAGCGTGGAGAACATTATGAATGCCTGATAACTCGGGAGGTAGGGCTAATCGATACGCGACCTCGCCTACTCGCTCGAGAACCTCGAACGGACCGATGAATCGAGGGTGCAACTTCCCTCTCTTTCCGAATCGAACGATTCCGCGAATCGGACGAACTCTGAGAAAAGCTGGCTCGCCCTGAGCTGTCCTGAGTCTTTGCCGGATCAACTCGACCTAATCTGCCGTCTCCTCGATCAGCTTAGGACCGAGTACTCGTCGCTCTCCGACGTCGTCCCAATAAAGAGGGGAACGACACTTGCGACCGTAAAGTGCCTCATAAGGAGCCATCTGAATGGAAGAATGATAGCTGTTGTTATACGCGAACTCTGCGTACGGCAACAACGAGTCCCACTTAGCACCTCTGTCAACAACCAAAGCGCGAAGCATATCCTCAAGCGTTTGAATGGTCCGCTCGGACTGACCATATATCTCCGGATGGTAGGCTGAACTGAACTCTAGCTTCGTGCCCATCGCCTCATGTAAACTGTGCCAAAATCGACTGACGAATCTGGGATCTCTGTCTGATACAATCGTAACAGGCACTCCGTGGAGTCGAATGATCCCACGGGTATATATCTCAGCCAACTTGTCCAGAGACTTCTTCATCGAAACGGGTAAGAAATGAGCGACCTTAGTCAATCTGTCGACCACGACCCATATAGCGTCGTGATGTTCAGACGACCTCGGTAATCCCGTAACGAAATCCATCGTGACTTCCTCAAACTTCCACCTCGGAATCGGTAGCGGCTGCAGGAGGCCGATCGGACTCTGATGTTCGGCTTTGACTTGCTACAGGTAAAACATCTCCTAACAAACTCGACGACGTCTTTCTTCATGCCTCGCCACCAGAACGACCCTTTCAGGTCGTGATACATCATCGTGCTCCCGGGATGGGCTAGATAGGGTGCAGTATGAGCCTCTGATAAAATCTCCTTCCGCAACGCCTCGACCTTCGTGACCACGATCCTGCCTCTGAACTCTAGGGCACCATCGGCACCTAGCTAAAAACCCTCGACGCCTCCGGCGCGAACCTTGGCCTCCATGACACGAACGAACTCGTCAGAAGCCTGCTCTCGCCGGATTCTCTCTCTCAGCGTCGGCTGAAGCTGCATGGCACTGACACTCCCCGAAACAGATATGGGAAGTGCATCGATCGCCTGAAGCTGCATCTGGAAAAACTCCTGAATCAACGGACTCTGTTGAGTAATGACGTACGTCAAGTCACCACTCACCTTTCGGCTTAGGGCATCAGCAACGACGTTCGCCTTTACCGGATGATACTGACTAGAGCAATCGTAATTCTTGACGAGCTCGAGCCAATGACGCTGTCTCATGTTAAGCTCCTTTTGCGTGAAGATGTACTGCAGGCTCTTATGATCTGTGAAAATCTCACAACGACCGCCGTAAAGATAGTGTCGCCAGATCTTGAGAGCATGAACAACGGCGGCTAACTCCAAGTCGTGCGTCGGATAGTTCTGCTCATGCGGCTTAAGCTGACGTGAAGCATACGCGACGACCTGCCATCCTGCATAAGGACGCATCCCAAGCCCTGTCTCGAAGCATCACTGAAGATGGTGAAACTCCGAGAAGGATCGGGAATAGTCAACACCGGTGCTGAAGTTAAACCTCCTCTTGAGCTCCTGAAAGCTCGCCTCACAACGATCAGTGCACTCGAACCTCACAGACTTCCTCGTCAGCTGGGATAGAGGGAGGGCAATCTTGGAAAAGCCCTTGATGAACCTGCGATAATAACCAGCTAGACCGAGAAAACTGCGAACCTCGGACGGACTCCTCGGTGTCGACCAGTTCTGAACTGCTGAACCTTGGAAGGATCCACCTCGATACCTGCCTGAGTAATCACATGACCCAGAAAGGATACTCGCTGGAGCCAGAACTCGCATTTGGAGAATTTTGCAAACAACTTTTCTCGTATGAGGGTTTCAAGAACCACCCTCAGATGCTCCTCGTGCTCCTTCTAGCTCTTCGAGTAGATAAGAATATCATCAATAAAGACAATAACAAACTGATCGAGGTAGGGATGGAAAATACGGTTCGTAAGGTCCATGAAAATAGCTGGAGCATTACTGAGGCCGAATGGCATGACGACGAACTCGTAATGGCCGTAACGAGTCCTGAAAGCGGTCTTAGCAATATCTGATTCCTTAATCTTCAGCTGGTGGTAGCCTGATCGTAAATCAATCTTTAAAAACACACAGGCTCCCCTCAGCTGATCAAATAAGTCGTCGATCCTGGGAAGCGGATACTTATTCTTGATCGTCAACCGGTTAAGATCCTGGTAGTCGATACACATGCGCGTGGATCCGTCCTTCTTCTTAACAAAGAGAACGGGTGCTCCCCAAGGTGACACGCTCGGTCGAATGAAACCGAGTCGTAACAGCTCCTGAATCTACGCCTTAAGCTCCTGCAACTCCTTAGGCGCCATACGGTACGGGGCTTTGGATACTGGACCGGCTCCTGGAATGAGATCGATAGAGAACTCCACCTGCCGGTTAGGCGGTCCTCCTGGAAGCTCGTCTGGGAACACGTCCACAAACTCACGAACGATCAAAACATCGTGAGGTGATCGTGCTTTCTGAGATTCGTCGACAAGGCTCACCAGATAACCCTGGAAGTTTCCTCGTCGCAATAACTTAGTGGCTTTCGCCATCGAAACAACATGAGGCAATGAACGATTCATAGAACCGAAGAAAGTGATCGATTCGTCTCCCGGAAGATAGAGAGTGATCTCCTGGTCATGACACCTGATATCCGCATGATAGAAGGATAGCCAATCCATTCCGAGAATAAGGTCGAAGTCCCTCATCTCGAGAACAAACGCGTCGGTAGACAATACTCGGCCACCGATGGAAAGGCTAAGATCTGAAGCTTTAGCTGAAGTCACTATCTTTCGTCCCGAGCCTAAACTCACCTCGAGAGGATCGACAGTGGTAATGGCATGAACTCCGATGGCATCCAGACATCGTCGTGAAATGAATGAATGCGTTGCTCCAATATCGAACAAAGCGAAAACAGTAATATCATTAAGCACAACCATCCCTGACATAGTACCTGGCTGCTGTGCTGCTTCGGCCTGATCAACCGCGTAGACCCGGGCCTGCTGTCTGCCCCTCTGCTGCTGCTGCTGAGGCGGCCTCTGCGCCTGCTGACGTGGCTGCTGCTGCTGTGGCGGCTGCTGAGGCTGCTGGGGCTGCTGCTGAAGTCTCTTCGGACAGCGACTCGCAAAATGTCCAGGCTCGTGGCAGTAGTAACAAATGTTCTGACCCATGTGGCACTCTCCCCGATGAAGTCGTCCGCAAGTCGAGCATGGTGGAACCTGCTGCTGTCTCTGTTGGGTCCTCCTATCAGTCTGTGCGCCCTTCCCCTTCCTCTTCTTCTCCTTTGCCGGCTGAGCAGCTGGTAGAGCTGGTGGAGCTGCAAATGGCTGAACTGGGGTGGATGGCTGGGCACGATCACAGACGGCCTCCCTCCTGAGGCTGGCGTCCACCTCCTGGGCGATAGAAACTGCACGAGCATAGGTCTGTGTCCCGTGTCCCACAATGTTATGACGGACTGCTGGGTAAAGCTCGTCGATGAACCGATGTGCTCTCTGGGCCTCCGTGCGAACCAGGTCCGGTACAAAAGCTGCAAGTCTAGTGAACTCTCTCTCGTACTCATCAACCGTACGAGTGCTCAGCTGGAGCGATAAGAACTGACGCTCCATCTCTACCCAATAATAAGAGGGGTAGTACTTTTCGCGGACTAGCTCCTTGAGCATATCCCACGTACATCCCGCTTTTTCACCGGGACGCATGCTCCAGTAGGCATTCCACCAGAGCCGTGCATCACCAGTGAGCTGAAGTTGAGCGCAGATTACGCGATACCTATCAGGACAGTCCATGACCTCGAAGATGAACTCTAGGCCCTGAATCCATTCATCTACAATGCGGGGATCTCCCTGCCCTGAGAACTTTTCAGCGTGATAGTCGCGGAACTGTGTGACTACAGTAGCCTGAGTAGGAGCGGATGATCGGGTTCCCTACGTGGCGGCATCTGAACATTGAGAAAATTTAACATTATTGAATACGTGATAACATTCTGACTGATTACTAAGGCACACAGATCTCTTGACGAGTTGCCAAAATGGTCGATAATTACTGTCATGAATCCTGAGGAACTCTAGAGTCATATCGGAAGATACTAATTTCTAGAGTCATATCTGAACGCCCTGAATTCTAGAGTCCGATCCTGATTCGAGCATCTTAACTAAGGTCCTGATCCATAATTCTGAGCATAGACAAAGTAATATGTTTATAACTTAAAACATAAATCAGCACTTACCTGTCGTCTGCGGGGCGTGAGCGTGACGGTTCAGGTTTTTTTTTTGAAAATTACTGACTGAAAAACTTTTCATAGACGCAAAAACGTGCTCTGATACCAATTGTAACACCCCGCCTTATCGTAAAATCAGAGTACGAAAATTTCGCAAAGTTATTTAAAATAAAACTTTTTACTTTGCAAAAACTGATTCGGGGTGCTAACGTAAAACGTGACTTATTTTGGAAAAACCGTTATCTTAATTTTTAATAAAATCATATGATTACTGAAAGCATAAGTTTTTCCAAAAGTCCGGTCAAAACATAAGTTCATCAAAACCATCATCAGCGGAAACGTAAATCGTCATAATAAATATACAGTCAAAACATAAAAGTCCTGAAGTATCCGTCATCTCACGCTCCCGGCCCGACGTCCTGACCTGAAAAACATGATAACAATGGGAAATGAGCACTATGGCACTGTGCTCCGTGGAAACTCATACTAATGTAAATATTGAAAATAATAACAACATCATGATCTTGGCATATACATAACCTCAACATGAAACCGGTAATAACATGAACATGAATATGATATCGTCACGCGAACGTGAACCCTGACCGTTACCTCATCTCCGGCACAAACTAATGTCGGACACCATGTGCACACTCTAGTGGGCAGACTAGGGCCACTAGAACCAAGAATGGACCGGCGACCATTCCGAGCGGATACATGACATGAAATACATACCTCAAACATGGTACCGTAATTATAATCAATG